CACACACACACACACACACACACACACACACACACACACACACACACTCGCTGTGTCATCCTCTCTCATGTTTACTGTTTCCACCAGCCAACAAACACATTTCCTTGTTACTCGGGCAACTTGAAGAAATGTACTCCTGCATAGAAATCACATTCTCCTCACAGCGGTGAAGAGGCCGAGTCCAGTCGAGCAGTGTCAAAACTAAAAAACATCAAATTACTGAAACTGCTGGGATGCAATGTGTGTATAGTATAACTTTACTGAATCACTCAATTCATATGGGATTATCTGGGAAGCATGTCCACTGGGTGCTTATAAGCTAGTTCAGAGTCTGACAAAGGTTTCCTGAAAATATTGTTGCAACAATATTCAATAAAGTTAATGAATTTGTCTGCTAACACCCTCTATATCGCTGTTCAGTGTCAGTGGGTGTGTTAGTGTCAGCGGTGGCTGCATTTGTGTGATTGTGTGCTGTGATCCTCCTGGAGCCTGAACAGAGGCAAAACGCAACAAACATGCGACTCCATTTCTGGAGAGCAAAACAAGGTAGCAAGCACGCGTAGCTGGGCTCTATTAAAGCATCTGAGGGCGTAACATAATTCATTGCAACATTTAGCGGTGAAACAAGACACAGATCGCCCACGAATGTAAGTAGTGCCTGAATTATGAGGGGCAGAAAATAAGGGAGGCGGAGGAGGGGGATGATGGAGATATGGAAAAGGAGGAGGTGAAGAAGGAGTTCAAGACAGAGCTCCTCCATTCTGCTTTCTGTCTGCGACCGGTAGGTTTAATGCTCCGACGTTCCTCTCTCGCTCTCTCAGTCTGTTTACAATTACGGTGTCGCGAATGAATCTTCCACGAATGACCGCTCAACTGGCAGCCCCGACCAGCCAGGAACAAGGGAGCTATTAGTAGAGGAACTGAGGAAGGAAGGAAGAGGGGAAAGCCAAAAGGGAAGGCAGTCCAGCTCAGAGGCCCAGGGAGGGGGGAGGAGGGGAGGGAGAGAGCAACGGGGAAGGCTTAGTGGAGGGAGAGAGGGGAGGTGAGATGGGGAGGCAGTGCGGCGGGATCAGTGGGGTTATACAGCAAAGAGGGAAGGGCGACAGAAGAGGAGGGCTCAGCCACATCTCCCTGAGGCGATCCGCTCGACAGAAGCAAAGATCTCAGAGGAGGAGGAGGAGGAAGAGACTGTAGCCCCCCCCCCCCCACCAGCAGAAGAGGAGATGAAAGAGATTAGTTCTGGGGTCTGGCCCGGAGGACAGTGGACGAGGCAGCCTCTGAAATTCTTCCATTTCTCAGGCAACAGGATTTAGGGTGGGACCTCCCCGTGGCCCTTTGATACAAGAAATACATGAGAGCGTTTCGTGGGTGTGACACTCTCTCAACCCCCCCCCC